TGGAATATAATTGTATATATATATTTATCTATCTATATATATAAATAATTGTATATATATATATATATATATATACATATATATATCACATATATAAACACACAAACACATTGTCAAGTTGACTCAGAATTAGTGCCAATACTTATCATTAATTTTGTCTACTCAACCTCTTCTTAAATCCCTATTCTTAAATCCTTGGCCATGGCAGATATCCGCCCTATTTCAACGAATCTTCGATCTGATTTGAGATGTGTTGTGGTATTACCTAAGCCTTTCAGAGCTCCAGTTGCTTAAATAGAAGTTCGATCCCGCATGACTTTATTCAATTCAAAAAAGCCCATCAAGATGCGTCGTTTTGTGTGTCTTTTCGTTCTCTCCCAAGTGTTTTTAGATAACGTTGCCGCTCAAATTCACTGTTCACCAATAGACTTCGCATCTTCTGACGATATTCCAGAATGTACGTTTGGATGTTATTGTGTCAGAGGAAGGGTTAGTCTGTACGGTTGGTTTAGGTCTAATACTGTCTGTCGTTATCCTGAATGTGATGGTGTCGTAGAATGTGCACATCCCACAATATCATGTGGATGTCCAATTTGCGATGGACGTAAGTAGGCCTTAAAATTATCATTTATGTATTATATTTTCTTTAATACTAAACTAATTTTGAAATGTCAATATGTCAACAGTATATGTAAATCACTCAGTGTATGTAACACATGGACCTAAGCAGTGAAACTGCAGGAAGTAAATTATCTTCACAAGACGTAACCCATTGCTGCTCTATAATTTATAATAGTTGCATACTAATACTATAAATATTAAATTTTGTACAATCTGTGTATTATGTATTAATTATTGTTATGTATTTTTTAGGCTATTCTCAATTTGTATGTAATTTCTCGACGTTTTCACCCATTTTATTGTATAAATGGTTGTATATTTTTATGCATTTTATATTTATACATTTCTATTTTTGTATAGGCCCTAACACATTTTATGGACCGAGCCGTAGTAGGGCTTGCTACCGGTTTGCTCGCATCCGTACTACTGTATATTTTCAAGAGAGAAGTTTATTGGGCATATAATGTATTTTTTGTAACTGGTTATTTATGTTATTTTCATATGCCATCGTGAAGTATCTTGTATGTATCTTGTATAGGCCCTGTTCGTTTTCCAGTGATACATTTTGTCAGAGGCCTTATACGCGCTTTTAAATTTTATGAAAAAATATCTAAAGTTTTTTAGAAAACTTTTGAAGTAAATACATAGGCTAATACCCAGATCATCGATACAGAATCAGCGATACCTATTTTTACTCCCATCGAGGCTAGAGTTTCCCCATCCCGCCTCAGGGTGGAGTCGTTTCATCTGTACTTGCGCCTAGTATTTCGGTATATCGAACTCACTTTAAGAACCAATGGCACACACCTGTGGTGGGTCTATGCGTAATACAATCAAAAGTAATAATTATACAAAGAACATACCTCGGCTATTAATAGATGTTGGTTTTGGCACACAATTATGAACTTTGTATTGTTTCGCGTTAGGAACAATTGTTGTGGCCAGGAGCATAATAATGATTGCATGTTAACCAGGCAAGGTGTGAACCTACTAGGTTGCAACAATGTATTTCTCTTTAAGAAATGCAATACAATCCTTTATAATTAAGTATGTGTTTGTTGTTAGGCCAAGATTGTGTTGTTATAGATGGTAATGGTCAAGAAGTCACAATCGATGCAGGACAACCACAACAAGTAGGATGTGCCATCTGCGAGTGTAATCCGGCAGACCCGGCCGTGCCGTTCCCCGAATCGCCTGACGGAAGTATCTCGACTCAACAGAGAAGGTGTGTCAGGAACTCAATAATACCTTTATCTGATATATAAAAAATATTATATATTATATTATATATATA